CTGAGGTGTAGTAGCCGGAAAATTTTCACCACAGACTCAATGAATGATGGGCAACACAATGCACCTTTTAGATTTTCAATAAGATCCCTTTCATTTTCTTTTATCAATTGTACAAAAAAGTTGCAATTGACTCATATATATATTTTATATAAATATATTTTATCTTAAGAGCAGACTTATGCCAGGAACTTCGGCAATTTTGTAATATGACCCCAGTCTTTTCTCATTAAACTATACTTTCTTTTGTGCAATTATGTTTTTTGAAGCTTTGATTGTTGTCTCATCTTATTTTTTATTATATCTTGTCCGAAAATAACGTTTTTCTCTGAAATCTCTGAAAATTCTTTTGATTTGTGTTTTAGTTCAAATCATAAGGATATTGTAAAAGTCATTTTTTTAAGAATATTATGATTTTCTTACATTTAAAACTTAAATCTAACCGTAAGGATCACGATAAAGATACTGCAGAAAATTTACACACATAGTTCGTAAGCTTGAATCTCTAGGATAATTGATGGTGCAGCTTGATCATTTATTTTTTGTAAATGGATAAAAAAAATAGATTGATTTAATGGTATTAACATAAGAAGAGGTTCAGGTTTTTAACAACAAATAAAGTTCTCACACACTTCTAATCGACAAGAGTACACTTATTTGTCTAAAGTATGAATCGATCGCTTTTTTACTATAGTCTGTGCTTTCAAAGTCAAGTTGTTGTATCCCACAGGAGTTGGAGACTTTGAAAAACTGTTGCTTCTGTTTCTTAGTGGAATCAGTTTTTGACATATTTGTTATAATTATATGCTATGATCGCTTTACTTTTAGTGACGCTGTACTTTTAGTAATTTTTATCGAAGATACAACACATCACACGACAGCTTGCAGTCACCCATAGCACTAACTTTCCGTTTATAAAAACCGGTTTGATGATCGTTACAAAAAAGATGGTATAACATTATTCGAATGAGCAGTTGGAAATAAAGTTTTAAATACAATGTATAGTACTGCTATGAAAAACATGTTAATAAAATTGTTCTGAATTTATTTTAAACACTCGAGCTTTCGATTACAACTTAGTCATAAATATCACCCACTGGGTGATATTTGTGACGTGTATAGTAGCGAGCGGTACGAGACCGACGTATGAAATCTTGATAACATAAAATCTTCGTTCGTATAAATTTTCAACGTTTAATTAAAAAGATTGTTCTTTTTAACAAGTCTGTGCCTTTGTTTTGCAGAAGCTCAAACTATAGAGCTTATTCAATACATTTCTTAATCAAAAAATTTTCCAACGGTCTATTACCTTTCTCTTCACGAACCGCAAAAACTTTTTTTTAGTTTTTACCGATTTGATGCTGATTTCTGATCGACCAATAAACGGCCTAATCCAATTCAAACTTTTAATCGGCCGATCCGATTCCAATTTCTCCAATCGGTTACAACTCTGTTTCAATGAACCTGAAAACTGATAAAAAAAGAACGTTCAAACATTAACTGTACAATAACGATTACATACAACTAAGCAATGTTTAAATTTTCAAGTTCAACGCATTGTTTTTTTAATCTATTTTTAAATTTACTTCTTACTCTTTTACGTACACCTTTTTTTTATTTTAAGGTGAAACCTTTGATCAAACAATGCAAAAAACAGACGCTCGATTTGAAGACAATAGTCGTTTAGCTATACATCAAGGTAAACGAAATGAATTTTGTGAAATACCTGGAAATAATCTATATTCAACTGATTTACATTGTATTGGCTTTAAATCAGAAATAATGAACCATTCGAATTATATGTTTATTGGTATTATACTGCAATCAAAACCATTAGCTGTTGATTCATTTCAACAGCCTAGTTCCTATGGTTGGGGAATGGATAACATTTTTTATTTAAATGGTATTAAAAAAAGATTTGATTATGATATGAGAGAAGATGATATAATTGATTTTATTATAAATTGTAATAAACGTCGAACTGACTTATATAATCGACGAACAAAAGAATTTTATGAAATATCTGCTATCGATTCAAGAAAATGTCCATTTCCTTGGCAATTGAATATCTGAATATAAGTCTCTCAAAATTTGAAAATCGTGTACGTATTTTGACATAAGTTGCGAAACAAAACCATATATTTGTTTCAACACGGGTGGCAGTCTTTAAACTCTTTACGAGATGAAAAATACTACCGTCCTTTTTTTAGACTGGGAAACTGTTTTCAACTCGTACGACTTTCGCCTCCGCAGCCTCCTCTATAGTATGTTAGAATATAGCACTCATTTGAGAGTCTAAAAGATGCTCTTTCCTCTAAATGCACGGAGGCCGTTTTTCATCTCGTTACAAGTACGAATTTAACATGAAGTCTGTTTCAAATAATGAACTTTAGAATGATTCGTACGTTTTCATAAAATTATATTGAACCAAAAAGAAAAATAATCAAAACAGAATCCTTCAGCTTAGTTTGACTCCTGTGTATGTGTTTAAAGATGAATTTTTCTGAAATCAAATACAAAACGTTGTTGTATGAAAGGAAAAGACTAAAGTTTTTAGTTACTTTTAGGAAGATAGTAAAAGTGATAGACAGGTTTGGCTGAGGTTAAATCGTTTTCTGTCATTTTCTGATTGGAATTTGGAACTCTACATTCAACCTTAAACCATTTCATTCAAACTGTAAAAGGCATTCGAGCCAGTCTTCTGAGATGTTTGTTGCTTCCAGTAAAGTTTTATGTTTAAAATTTAACTCCGTACTTTTCTACATTAAATTCTATTCGATATCTTAATATACACGCCAAGTAAATCAGCATAAACAGAGAAGAAATGGAAGAAATTTATTATTTAAATTTAATCGAATTTATGGAGTAGATCTGTTTCATTCATCTATAACTGGTAGTATGCAATAACAACCAGAATAAGAAATATTTGGTGATTGCAAAAGAAAATTTTTAAATTTTTCGGGTAAAACCGTGTTTTTAGACTCTGATCTCCAAAAGCTGTGCAAAGTTTGAGGTATTATTTTCGTCAGAATTTTCTGCTCTATCTTTTTCATATTTCTAAACCAGAGTACATTACTTGCCATCTAAGAACTAACTTTAAAGCCATTTGAAATTTTGACTTCAGGAGGTCGTGCTCCAATAAATCGAATATGCTTAATCCCTAACTTTTTAAAAAAGTCTTCACGCAAAGCAAAAGCACGAAAAGAAAAGTTTTACTTGAAAAGTCATCAATATCGAGCTGGAAGATAGCTCAAACACTTTTTTTGAACGTAGTGCTTCTCGTGTCACAGCCCATTCAAAAATAAAAGACTCCTTTGTAAAAACTTTTAGGCCAGCGTGATAAAAATGATATGTTTCATTGTTATACGTACAAGAGTGTGCTCCATCTGAATTTCACCCTTGAGGACCTAAAAGACCGGTAGAATGTGAGGGAAATTAGGGTAACACGACAGCTGCTCCCCTGATAGTGGTTCCCGCGACACTTGCTTCCCGGGCAGTTGCACCCGTAATACTTGCTCCCTAACGATATCTGCTCCTACTGGAGAGTCCGAAATGATTTTTCAAAGTTAACAGTTGGTAGAAATTGGCAGAAAGTTAAAATAGTTACAAATCGATTTATAAATCGCCCTATATCGGACTCTTCAACGTCTGCTCCCCAACGATAAAAACACAGTCTCGTACGGAAGAAAAAAGAAGTACTAAGTGATATCGAACAAGTAAAATAGGAGGATGGTATAGATTAAGAGGATCATCATATAAAGAAAAGAAATAGAATACCACTGTTTTGTCAATGGACTATGGTCAATAAATCAGATTACAAAAAGCAAGCACTTTTTCTAAATGATCATGACCGACGATCACCGAAACTGAAATCTATAGTTACATAGATTTGATTGACATAGACCGAATTTGACTAGACTGAATGATGAAAAGAGCGCAGTGGCGTTCACCGAAAATCTGTTTCCTTCTAGAGATTGCAGAGAACGCCTGAATTGTTCTCTCCTGGTATTAGAAATGCTAAACTAAAGAATGATGAACAAAAAAAGAAATATCAGCAGGATTTGCTTTGACGTCTCGCTATCGATCAAATTTTCGATATCGAGAGTCATAAAAACTTGATCGGTTTTACTGTAAGATATCTCAGAATAAACATATCTACAAATATTAAACCTACATGGCTTAATGACAATTGTGACAACATTCTACGTTATTCATTTGAATTTGTAATTAAATATTTTAAAGAAAAGACATTTATGATGCAGCATAACTTTTGACTTAAAACTGAAGTAATAAAATTTTCCATGTCAAAAATTAATCACAAGGATAGTAAATCTGGAGAGTTTACATTTAATTTTATCCATTTTTAATCATGTAGCTATCATCTACTCACAACTACTTCTCAAAGTCTTAACCGGCTGAAGGCATTTCAATATGACTCCAGTTTTAGGTATGCATCGGTTTTTGTTGTTGCTGTTGTTGAAATAAACCCCAATCTATATTTGATGGTACCGAAACAGATTACAAGTAAAAACAGCAACTGCAACAATAATCTCAATCACAACTTACAAAAAAAGTTAAATCAAAAATGTTCGGGAGTAACTGTCGCAAGAAAGCAATTTTTAGGCGAGCACAGGGCTGGGCAACTCCAGCTCAGGCGTTGAGGATTTTTCTGGTGGAGTCGGATTTGACCTTGGCGGAGTTGGAGTTGAGATTTTAGTAGGTTGGAGTTGGGTTTTGAATTTTTATTCTCAACTCCGTTTTGCGTTTTTGAAAATATTCAATAATTGTAAACTGATCTTCTAAACGACTGAGTGGCTGTGTCCACGACTGAATTCAGAGGTACTTTGCGCTCTCCTGCCGGAAAAAGCTCAAAAAACTTCCAGGATCCAGCCAGAAACCGAAAATCTTCCTTATAAAAGTGAAGCAATCGGAGTTGAACTAGAGTTGAGGTTTTTGTTGAGAGAGTTGGAGTTGGAGTTGGAGTTAGAAATTTGAATACGGAGTTGAGTTAGAGTGAAGTTGGAGTTGGAGTTGTCCAGCCCTAGCCGAGCAAGTGTGTTTGGGGAGTAAGTGTTGCGGGAGCCATTGCCAAGGCGCGTCCGTTGTGACTTGTGTCGTTTAACTAACGCTTGCTATATTTTAACAATTCATTAAATCTGTTAGACAGTAACAAAAAGGTGTAGAATAACTGACCGGCACATTCAACAGATGCACCAGCAACAGAAAAACTTAGTATAATAAATGCTGCAGGCACAATTTGACCATAAGAGAAAGATTCCCTATGCAGATCACATGTGCCTTGATCCAAACTGCAGAGGGCTGTTTGACGATGATTTATATTCAAGCATCGGAGAGCGCATGCTTGTATTGTTGTTATAGATTGAGTTAAAATAAAACTCGTTGTTTCACTGTTAGGTATGTACTGCGCGTGATAGGTAAGTTGTACAAGTGCTAAGCGACTACTGACACGACACAAGTCGAATAGAGAAATGTAAAGAATAAAGATGCATTTACACATAGTTTTTTCTTTTTGACCACGAAATTTTTGTTTCATTTCTCAGCATACAATGAGAAAAACGTTTTGTTAAAACGTAAAACTCAAAAGTAATGGTATTTTACTAATAACCCCAAAGTGTGCGTTACTGATGCATGTTACCTTTTCTCTGAAGCGGTATTTTTGTACTGAACTTTCGATACGTGCAGGAATTTTCGGGAACAATACATCGGTTAAGATGATTCTTTCTCTTCGATTAGTAGGTAACACATGTGGCTATAAATTGACAGAGTCCGACGTTTACTTTTGTCTCGTATGGAGAGGGGATTTTTTAGAATACCGAAACAAGACTGTTTGGATTTTCAACTTATGATAACCGCTAAACATCAGCACAGCAAACTGTTGTAAATCGGACTCTGTCAACTCCAAACCACAGATGATTACTGCAAGCCAAAAATGGCCTGAGCTCAGATCAGACAGACGGTTATGGAGATAGACTTCTGACCCGAAAAGACCTCCATTTCTGCCTATCTAGTTAATTATGTTCTTTAAGCTGTAAGAATATGAACCGAGCTTCAATTTGCTACCGATTTTGTCCATGTTTATCTCAAACCATAGTACTATCCATTTCAATGAACAATGGAGTCGGCTATAAGTTGAATAACTTCGGATAGGAAACAGCTAGAGACCTACGGTTTTCAACATTCGAAAGAGAATAATATTCTTTATTAAGAAATATTGAAAGTTGATTCAATAACTGACCAATCAGGTGAGTTTTCGCTTGCTTCACATATTTATTACTCTTTATTTAAATAATATATAATACTATATAATACTCTATATTTATTACTCTTTTATTTTCTACGTTATTCTTTTCCTGTTGCTGTATTATTATACTTATGCATTCATTGCATGGGATAGCTACAAACAAGAGGTCTACAATTTCTTCTCTTT